CCATCTCACTGGCCTCCCATAGTCAACGGTAGGTTGTACCCAAGCACGCATCATATACATGATACCGTAGATCTTGTCCCGTGGGTCGGTGGACGTGCATTTTCGCCCAATCCCTACCAGTGTTTGCCAGTTCAGCGTCGTCCCGAGCATCATCAAAGGGGAGTTCAGATATTTAATGTGGTTCGGACACCATTCTTTGCGTAAAATAGGTGATGCATGTACAGTCTTCAGAAGGAGAAGCTGCACATATACCATCCTCAGGTGGTACAATAAAACCGCGTCATCAGCGCCGCAGCACACGAAGGTTTCGCGAGCGAGAGAAATCTCCTGCTGAATCCAGATCCTCTGCCAGTAAGGTCTCCCCATAAACACCGTGAGAGAGTCTACTAGGCTTTCCTCGATGAGATCGGGCGTGATGATGTCGGCGCAAGAGTATAATAACATTATCGCGTCTGTCTCCTCAAAAGAGTCGTCGTACGACCTGGTCTCCACATTGTAAAGCGCTTTCAGAAACTCGGCGCGCACATTCACCTTGTCTTCGCTCCATGCCCATCGCCGTACCAGCTCGAAAGCCTTTTTACTGTGTTCGTCTTCCTCCCCAAGCCAAGCAACGACAAATGCCGCTTGTGCGTATATGTCACCCATCATGGGCACCTGGGAATTCTTCTCATCGATATCCTCCTGATTGATGCAGAGCGCGTCAATCCATACATCGAGATGCCCTCCATTCTCACGGCCTATATCCGCTGGCTCGTCGCCGTATGCGTTTCTCATCCTTGTCAAATGCTCGGCGCCTGCTTGCCGTACGGCCCCCTCAGGGGGAGTAGCCATGGCTGTGGCGATCTGTTGGAGCTTTCCAAGAGCCTCATACAAGTTTTCTGTTACATGCACCGGGACTCCATTAACGTCGATAGGTTTCCGGATTTCGGGATCCCCCCAGACGTAAGACAGTGCTATGTAGCGAGGCCTTTCGTTGATGGACGCTGTCAGGAGTCGGTAGTTAACACCACCTGATTGCGGACCTGTCAACTCGATTCTCAGCAAGCGTATCTCGCGGCGAGACAGATCCAGTGGGCTGTAGAGGGACGAGGCAGCCCCTTGTGCGGAATTTTCAGCTTCCATCGTCTTTGCTTCTCTTGTGTATAGATGGTCTATGCCGATAATCGGATAGGGGGGGATTGCCTGAAAACACTACAAGCTGCTGTGCCGTGAATGGGAGAACTGGGAAAACACGAAACAAGCAAGCTTTCCTTGATGCATCTACTCAAAACATATCATGCAGTTAGGCTTCCCGGATACGAGTTCCCACGGAAAGTTTGGGGGGACTCAGCCTCATGATGCCTTGGCAGCTGAAAGTGATGGAGGTCATGACACTGCAGGAGGCTCAACCAATGGAACCCCCGGTATCAACTAGGAGCGCGCTAACTATGTCTTTAATCATTCTAGCATTTGTCTTGCCAACCTCACAATGGGTTTCTCGTGCTTTGTCTCTCTCAAGTCACTCATAATAAGGGATAAGGGTAAGTAACCCTGCCCCATTTCATTTGGTCTTGGGGATGTCTTCTCATAATGACATGCACTTTGTGTTGATGCACTCCCGTTCTACAACCTGCAATATGAATAAGGATGCAAATGTTCCATATAACTTGTCGCGTTCATCGAATCGCAGATGAAGAATCGAAGACAAATCCATTGCCATACAAAAGAAAACAGAGGATCTTGAATTAATCTAAAGGGCGGAAGAGCTCTATATATGATGTGCGCCAAGCCGCTGCGTGCCGATCACCTAATTATGTAATCCGAGCTCTCCTATTTAGCCCCTATATAACTTCTTTCTAGGATGTTAAACGATTCTACGGCTTTCACGAAGTGTCCACGATTTATGGACACGAGCCATTTCCATTTATATGTATGAAGGGACTTTTCCGTGTCCACGATATGTCCACGAGATCTTGTTCTTGAATACTCATGGCCATTCGTAGAAACAGGGGTCTTACGGACCATGGACTTATAGTTATATCGGCACTTCGACGAAGGTCCGGGACTTAAGGTAGCCCCTATTCTAGTCCGTGCGACCCTTGTTTCCACGAGTCTGCACGACTATGCACGGTATTTACGACCGGTCATATCCATCCACTGACATCGATATGCTCGTGGAATTCGTCTATTCCTCCCCACGAGGGTTGCTCGTGGATGAAGCGGAGTGGATTGACATCCTGCTTCTTTCGTATCGCCTTGTAATTTTCTAGATTGATGGTTTGCGATCATAAGATGACCTGTAATTGAAAGGCTCGATTATTCGCTTGTCCTGCTCCGTATGACGTCGCAATCTACCCACCGCCTTTTCTCCCTTCTGGGTTGGATTCTACCCCGTTCCTACTATCAATAACTTGCACCAAACATCGAGATAATCTTCTAAATTAGCACAGACCCTGATGATTTCTTCTTCGCTATTCAGTGGTACCTGAGGCAGTGCTCCGAAATCTGGTAAGGTTTCATGCATGCGAGGTCCGTATTACATTACGTCGGGTAATGCAGGGGACTTGTCAAATATTCAAGCAATAATACCCGACCGGCGCACCCAACGTGGGATTTGTTCGGCTTACAACATCATTCATAGAATTGCAATAAGGCTGTCGGGTGCTGACGAGAAAGCGGATCTCGGCAAGTCAACAAGATGAACACCCCTATTGGTGGGGGTCCCTGCGGGAAAACCGGCTGGGCTTCAAGAGTTACCTGCAAAGTCCTTTTTCTGTTTCAAAAGGCTCCAGACCAAGGACCGCGGTTCTTACATCCCCCGTCTCTCATATAAGTTATGAGCATGAAAAGGATGCAGGGAAGGATATAGCCGAACACCCCTTTGAGTTTATTCTCATGCATTTTAAAGTACTTCCGGCCGCTATTTTCAAATAAAAGGCAGTTTATCATGGTGACATTCGCTGGGAAGTTGTTTTGAGTAGAATGGAAGAGAAAATATAGCCAAATATACACTTTCATCTGTAGCCTCCTATCAATCTATGTAGAACAGCTCACGTAGTCATCCTGGCCATAATCTATAAATTCATAAGATCAGGCAGATATAGCTGGGGGGCTTTCTTGTATGGTACAGCTAAATCACACTATAGGGTGATGTAAGCGTTCTTTGCTGAGGTCGCCGGAACCTGCTACCACGAATGGCTCAACTTGCCGTACTGCTCACCTTTTGATCCTCGGAAGCTATGTGGTTGTGACTACCTAGGTACATATCCGGTTAGTTCCAGAGTTCTGCCACCTCACCATGTCATATGTTTAGTGGAACATATGATACTGCTGATTGTATACATCTTGGGGATGACAACATCCTAGTCTAGGCATCATGTTGTTCAGCTCCTCGGCACTTGAGACCCAGATGAAGACTTTGTCTAAGTTACGGCCATGTATAAAAGACCACTGCTTCCAGCAAAGTTTACAGACCTAATACCAAGCATCACTCTTACCAACACAAACCAGCAACTGTGAACAGTATTGCTTAACCTATCTTCTTTTCTCCCATATCAACCCAACACCACCGGGGACAGCACATCAGCCAAAACAACGTACACCATGAAGCTCTACATCTCTCTCCTTGCCCTAGCCTCCTCCGCTACAGTCATGGCCTGCACTCCCGGTACCTTCCAGTGTTTGGGAACGCAGGAGATCGGCGTGTGTAACTCGGGCGGCGAGTGGGTTGTCTCGTCGCTTTGCGGCAGAGGTGGCAACTGCGACGACGGAGGCACGGCTTGCCGGGGTGGCAGCAACCCCTATTGCTACTGTTAAACGGCTAGCTACTTTGCTAAGGAAGGATGCCTATTAGGTAAGATTAGTGTGACGATCCTCCTCATCTCTCCGTGTGGAAGCCTGATACTGACAGTCATTGTTTGTAGCAACATTTGTGAGACAGTGAAGAAAGTTAGTCAGGCGGTCCCTGGATATGGAAATTGGTGGACTGGTGTGGTCTAGGGATATGGTAGGGCGAATCCTGTGGGCGAAGGGGCAAGATTGTTAAAAATTGGGTTACGGAAAGAGGAAGTGGGCTTGAGATTACCTGTACACTCCTTATCCTCATACATATACATATCATAGCATAGCACAATATATACGTGGCATCCATACGATGTTACGTACATAATTGTCAGAATAGAACATACAAAGTTCTGCCTTAATTCAAGGACACTTTCGTATACTATCTTCATTATCGCATCATACTCATTCAGGTTCGGTGTCTGACTCGAGATGAATTCCAATGCCTTCGGAACCCAACAGGTCTCACGACTAATAGACCTGAATACACATAATTTCGTTTATATAGGGATCCATAGCATACTATGTCCGCAGTCGCGTTGAGGTGAGAATGGGTGTTACCATACGGTCTGGGAAACGAGTCTAACGGTCATCTAGTGGATATTCCCTCCGGATGGCGATGCTTTGGGTGCTATAGTGTCAGCGCTGGTTCTCACTGCAGAAGCACCGTCTCTTCTCACCGAGTCGTTTTAGGCTATGATCTCGAACTTCAGTGTACCTGGTGATGTTCTTCAAGACGGATCCGGCTCCAATAGTGTGCTCATCGTTCAATCTAGAGCCCAGTCGACTTCTGAGCCAACCCATGAACTTGAACAAATATTCTCAGATTTTCTTGCCGATAAGTCAAGCACTCTTGTTTTATTGAACACTGATACGGAGAAATTTCCTCAGGGGCCTTCTCACCAGGGGTTTGCTAGGGGGACGCATTTCTCACTCAAGGCCGAATGCAGAGGTATCAGGTTAATTGGCAACTAGTTGGTCCCGATATAGAGTAACGCCTTAGAAATGTATGGTATAAGGAGGACCAAAAAATACATTGAAACTTATTTATTTATTTATTTTCCTTTTATTTATTCAATCTTTATATGGGATTTGGAGGCCCGCCTTCCAACCCGGGAGCTCTGTACGCTACGGTCTCCGTCTCCCCCTCCAGTGGTTTTACATTGGAAAGATGTGGCTTTTGCACTAGACTGGATTCGAACCAAGGGCTTTCAGCTTAAGGTTGGGCAAGCTGGATTGGAAACAAGGCAGACATAGGCACTACGCACTACACCACTGGGCCACTAGGCCCTGCCCCGTAGGGCAATAATCTGACACTCAATTGCCAATTATAAGGTCTCAGCAGGTTGTCAAGGAGTCGGGAGTATAGCGAGTGTTGGCCAGGAGGATGGGTTGCCTTGGTATTATAGTTAAGGGGCTGGCCATAGTGCCGCTAAGGCGTTGCCAAGTGGTAGGTATAGAACTTAAACCTTCACACAAGGCTGGCGGGACAACCTACCAAACTATGGGCAATATGAATATGGAAGTATCGTGAATTATATACCCCAGCAGGTTCCAAGTGATAGCTAGGTGTCGGGGATGTGTCAACACAAAGTGGGAGGTAGAAGATGAAATCTCCAAGATAGGTAGTATCTAGAGAAAGAGTAACTCCTACCGCTTCTTAGACATCGAAAGGGGGGGAGAGCCCTCCTTATATAGGCCAACCGGTAGGTGACCGCGGGACTAGTGCCAACCTTAGGTGTCTTCACGACACTAAGTCCAAGTAGTCATCTTTAAAGATATATTTAGGTTCTCGCGTGAAGGAAAGTATATTCTCTATTTGCATACTAGTGGGCCTATCCTATATCCCAATACGCCTGGTATCAACTCTAATAGACAGAAAGGCAACCTAATCAAACAACTAATGCCCAGCCGCGTACGTGCTCCTCTTCCTCAGCGAAGGGCCGAAGTACCAGAGGAAGAAAGGCGCCGGCACCCCGATTACCAAAGCGATTAGGGCCAGGACCGTGTTACCCCAGCCAAATTGCAAGCTCTGGTACAGGTAGGGCGCGAAAAGGGGGAAGGCGAAGCCGGCCAGCGACCGGACGAACATGGACGCGGCGCTGGCGGACGCCGCGTACGTCGGGTAGACGTCCAGGGCGTAGAGCTGGGTGCACTGGAGCGAGAACTTGACGCCCGCGCCGAAGATGGCGATCCCTATGTCGGGCATGATCCAGTGCAGGTGAGCCTGGGCACTCCAGCCGTACCAGAATAGTCCTATCGGCACCATGAGAGCTCCTGGGAGAAGGAGAGGGAGGCGGTATTCGGGGATGCCCGTACCGTTGCCCCTGGTCTCCTTGAGGCGCTTGTAGACAACGTCAAGGAGTCTTGTGCAGACCTGGGTGCCGATGATGTACCCAATAGCCAGAGCAAGGTAGTTCAGGCCTGCAATGCTAATGGACAACCCATACTGCGTCGTCCAGAGGATGGGGAACGTCGACAGCGCCAGGTACATCAAGCCAAATACGTACGCGATGTAGATCGCAAGGACCTGGAGGATCGGCTGGGTGGTGAGGAGCAAGAACGGGCGCACCAGCGCAGTGAGGGCGAGCTTTTTGAATGTTCGGTCGGGTCTCTCCCACTTCGTGTGGAGTTCGGTGTTGCCCGTTTCCTTCCTCAGCTTGGCGGCTTTCCGTGCGAGAAGGACGGGCGCAAAGGTCTCCCGGAAGAAGATCGTAGCCACGATCTGAATGCACGCGTTCGCGATACTGATGGCATAGAACGTCCACCGCCAGGAACTGTACTGCGTGATGAAGCCACCACAAAGGGGACCAATTGTCGGGCCCAGCAGTGTGCCCAGGGTGTATATGCTGACGGACAGCCCTCGCTCTTCGGTCCTCCAAACATCTCCGAGTATGCCAGCCCCTATTACAGTAGCGGCGCTGTTAAGCGACTCGTCAGTGAAAACAGACCATGATGTCATCACAAATAATGTATCAACAAAGATATTACGCACCTCCCGCCGAAGCCAGCAAAGAACCGACACACGATCAACTGAGTCGACGACGTCGCAAACCCGCACGCGGTGTTGAAGCACAGGTAGAACAGGTTGAAGAGCTGCAGCACGGGACGGCGTCCGTATATCTCGGATAGGGGCCCGGCGAGGAACGGGCCGAAGGCCGAGGCCAGGATGAAGATGGACAGGCTGAGGAAGCGCTCGAACTCCTGCTCCATGTGGAGCTCTATGCCGATCGCGGTCAGCGCAGGCGCCGTCATGGATGTCGAGACTGGCGAGATGAAGCTGAAAGCGGAGGCGATGGCGGTCAGCCGCCATCGGGCGGCAAACGACCAGTTCTTCGGGTTCGCAGCATCGTCGGGTCCATCCCAGGTAACCTGCAAGTCAGAGCGCGATATTGTCAGCTAGGTCTTCGGTGCACCCTGTATGCTGGACAGATTTACGTACCAAGTTATCATCAGCGACTTCCTCCGGTTTTGGGGTCGGTGTTAGTGATTCAGGGGTTTGGGCTTCGGGGTCGATCTGCTTCTGCAGGGCAGCCTGAACGGTCTTTTCCGTGATAACTTCCATTATAGCTTTCAATCGTGGCAATGCAATCGAGCTTACAGTAGGACCTCACTAGACAGATGCGGGATATGGTCGAACTAGAACTAAATAGTAGGCAGCCAGCTCTGACAACTTATAAGGTGCCGCTGAACTCGGCCAAGGGGAGTATGTCCATCTCCGCTACGGCACCAGCAACTTCCCGGTTCGGGGATATGATGTGTTGCAAATACAGGAGCCGTATATGGTTTCCACGTGTTGGTCTAGGAAAGTGGGGATGGACTCTTTTTTCGGATCGAGTCTGGCATTACCATGTCCGCCACCACATCGCTATACTCCGGCTTGGAAGCAAAGCTTATAATGTGGGTGCTGAGGACACTGGTCCTTGGCACGGCGTTCTCGAGGCTGAAAGACCTGACGCCTTCTCCGACGGCGAGCAGTGAGTAAGTGTGAAGGTGCAACGCGGCCGACTTATTATTCTATTCTAGCGCAGGCTCCAGAGTCCAACGTCAGTGTGGAAGCTACCAAGGTACTCACTGAGTAATCTAAGTCTGTGCTCTATCGTGGCAAATATGCTCTAATGCTCACTGTAGCTCGCATCTATCTTTTGTTCCTGTGGGGCTGGAAACAGTAGGGGTGAAGACGACATCTGATAAAGTCTCACATGGGGCTGTATGAAGCGTGGGGTTCTCCCAGGGTCTTACAGTATCAGCCTTTTGTTGGTTGCATGTGTTGGGCCCTTTACAGACCTTTCTCGTCTGTATCCGTTCGACGGGGGTAGAGGACCGGCCTTCCAATACACTCGGTTCGCTACTTAAACCCCGTCGGACTTTGACACGACCAAAAATAGTCGTTCTTCTTAGCTAAACTTCGACATTCACGAAACCTGGACTGCCATGTGAACACCGACGCTTCCCTCTGCCTACGAGTGAAATTTCTAGACTACCTCTGCAGAAGATGCCTGAATATGCAAGGGGGTGAAAGGGTGATTAAGCCACATGTCAAAGTTCTTGGCAGCTCTAGCCAATCAACGAGTAGGCGATGTACCAAAGTAGGAAGACGTAAGTGTATCGTTGTAGTTCACATAGATCCGTGTCCAAACCCCTCATCTTCTCTTGGCCAATATACAATGGCCCTTGCTTTGCCAACTACACAGAGTTAGTGTCTTCTGCACGTTACAAGAGTCGTGCTACCAAGGCGTGGATAGATCACGGTATCTATCATTTAGCTTTAACAACTTCCTTTTCGCAAGTTGTAAAGTCACGACATTGATTACGTGTCGTCCGTTCGAATGAAGCCTTCAAGTACGAACGCAAGTGCGACGACCGACCGACCTTGCGTGAGGCGAGGTATGATGTAGGGTGACTCATATGACAATAGGATGAATTTTGAGACTTACAATTCGCCGACGTCAAGCTTGTAGGTAGGTAAAGGTGTCTTCGTTGCTGATTCAGGGTGCTTCCCGTCCTTTTGCTCGCTTCTGACCAAGCTGATTAAGATTTATAAATTTTGAACTGGGACATAGAGATGTCTCCGGGCCGGAGCCGCATCAGTCCATACAGCGAAAATATCCGTATAGTTCCGATCGCTATTTGGTGTCGAGATTGGTCACATTTCCTGTAAAGAAGGAGACCCCGAAACTTGGTAACCGCGCTTCGCCCGTTTGCTGACAGCAAAATCATCAAATACTAACCTATGAGGTCGCCAGCCTGGTTGATCACTCACGTGAGAAGACCACCCATGTAACGCGTATAAGCTGACGATTACATGCAGCCACCGTGAGCCACGAGGCGGCCTTTCACATATATGCCGGTTCCGCAAGGTATGGTAGACTAGCCTAAGCGAGGCCAAGCCTTCGAATCAGGTTGCGTACCGATTGGTTGACCTTTTGCTGCAACGTAGTTCTGCAGAAACCTCATATTGGCAATGTTGTGCGACTTTTAAAGATATAACCGGACTTTGCAGTATTAAAAAGGCACTTATAGACCTTCAACACCTTGCTCATAGAGTAAAAGGCAGTTGTGGAGACTAAGATGCATGCTATTATAAACACTTCATTTAGGCTAGACAATGTTGTCTTTTAGCAGATGCAAATGTGAGTCGTTAGTGTAAATATCTTGTTATGTTGGGAGAACGGCCTGGATGAAAAAGGTTGACCTTGACACTTGCCACTTCAAGCAAAGTGATGGTCAATGGTAGTGGTCTATGCAACAAGCCCGGGAAGGGGTCACATCTACTACCGTCCGGTGTCCGCGGATCCAAGTCTAGTTTATTGGATCAAAGTGAGAGATGCCAACCATGGGATGTGAGAATAAAGTTATTGACCCATCCCTTGGGGATCGGACTGTCCGAAAACTAGATCGAGATACTATGACTTTATTCTACAATTAGCACATAAGGCAGAAATATAAAGGCTAGCTGGGAATACGACAGGCTAAAATTGCCGGGATAAAGGAGGGTAGAGCCAAAACAGGGAACGTTGGGCCAAGGAGTAACCTAAAGGGGGAAAAGATCATATATTATGGATGTATAACAGAGCATCTTCCCCTTGATGTACCGTAATCTTGGGTCTTATCTCCTATATTCTTAGTAGTTGTCAGCTTTACCCATAGCCACACCTAAAGAAGAGACCAACTCAGTCTTGGTAACTGCTTACAGCCTAACACACACTCACGATCCAGGAGGCATTGCCCTTTCTTATCGCCGCAGTACGCTAGCCCAGCAGCGCTCGTGGGGGTGAAACAATGGCAC